GGCGTTTTTCTGGTATCGGATATTATCCGATGTTAGACACGCATAATAATTTTGACAGAAAAAGCATGCCAGTGTAACAAAGACATCAATTGCGTAACGGCACGCGAAAGTAAGTCATCCGCAGAACATAACGGCATTGCATCAATCAAGTCACGTTGCGAAATGCTTCCTTGTCGCAGTATTTACCTGAAGGAGGCTAGACAGAATAAGAAATTAACACAAAACTTTTTCCGTCAGCATGTCTTTGAAGCTTGCTTGATTGACTCACGTGTTAACCTTTTTTTTTAGTTGTATTTATGCTTTCGGCCATGTTTTTGATGCTTCTATTGTGGCGAAACTTTCACTCAAGAACTTAACGCTGCAGTTTCGTTTGGCCGACTTAAAGAGTATTGTAGTGTTTCTTGTTTTAATTATTACTCATAATGGAGGAATGGAAAGTCATCAAAGAGAGACATAGTTAATACAGTTTGATATCGATGTTTCAAAATCATATAATAATTGTGATTTGGTCAAGTAATTTAACGCAATGATCACACGTAGCGCTGCCAATATTCATAGTTATTTCAATCTTAATAAGGAAAGGTGTCATTTCACCTACCTTTATTGACATTTATTCATTTTGTTTTATCAGGGTCAAAATAATAGTTCAAATAATCAGTCAAGTTCTAAATAATTGTTTTTTGAGATACGGAAGCAAGAAAAATTTTGCGACATAATGACATCATAGCTTTGAAATTGAAGAACGTATATTTTCTGTACTGTTCCATGTTGTTGCATAATTTTTCTTTTAAATGTAGAAAATCGCCTAATTAATATCTTTTTTATCATTCGGGTTTAAAAGAGATCAAAGAGCTTGTTTTATAATCTGTAAAAATTTTAAAACTCCGTAACTGATAAATTAAAAATAATGGACGTCAGATAATAGAAAAAATGGAACAGTTTCCGAATATTCGCAAAAAATTAGAAATTACGTAAAATTTCATACAGATTTCATTTTAAAGATTTATATGAGGTATTTTCTACCTCTTCACCGTATGTAACTGGAAACATGCTCGACGCATATTCGGGAGGACGGAGTTCGAATTCCAGGGAGGGCACTGCGAATTTCTTTGCTTCAAAAAATTCTCATAACTCTACAAGTGGCGTCCAAACTAAAAAGATGGTAGACGGTAATTCTTCACTACCAGAATTTAAAAGGGGGTATATAAGGTATTTTTTTCCCTGCAGCTCGCATAGCTTCGTGGTGTAGCTGGAAGCACCCTTAACGTATCGAGGACGTATTCGAGGAAGGGCTATCACGTATTCGAGGAGTCCGGAGTTCGAATCGTGGCGAGGGCATTGCGGATTTCTTCCATTTCCTTGCTTCGAAAATTCTATTGACTCCATAAATTTTTACCCTGTTCTATCCGATGTAGCAGATAGGAAATTTCCGAGATGTTTAGTTTGTTCGCTAAATGAAGTTACGTAGGAAAAGTCATATCAACATTAAGTTCAAAACACACACAAAATAATAATAATAATAAATAAATAAATGGAATTTTGAAAAAGTCATTTTAACAAATTGTATTCTCATCCCCAAACACTGTGTATACAAAGTTTGAAGTTATAAGGAAATAGTTTAAAAATCGATGATAAGCTTCTGACCACGGTGACAAATGCCATGAGTAAACAAAAATAAAAGCTTATAAAAATTCATTTTTATTGTTTTAAATATATTTGAAATACAAATAAAAAAAATAGTAAGAAGTCTGTTATGTACATAGATAGTTCAAATCCTGTCTTGAAACAGCAGGGAAGGGGATAGGGGAAAAAGTGCAGTTTGGAAATTTTGGATAATTTTAACACCTTCAAAAGTTATTCAAAAGGTTACCGAAATAATTGTAAATATATATATGTATATATATAATGAAAAAAGTTCATAAAATTAAAAAAAAAATTGTGATCTAAAGTCTTTGCATGCTGATTCTATTTTAACATCTATCTAGAAGAGCTTAAAGTTAAACCTTTATTAGCCCCTTGATTCAAGCATTAATGCCTTATAAATTCAAGACACAGATACTAAAATCATATTTTAAAGTTTAATTCTTAAAAATAACAATGCCAAGTAGTAGAAGAAAAAATTTTCTAAGACATTGTTTCATTATAAATTAAAAAATCAATTAGACATTTATTTAATATAGAAAAATCTAAACTATCCTGTGCATATATTTTATTGGATTGCTTATTTATGAGGCTTGCAAGAAGTATTTTCCTCAAATGGTAATTTTTAGCCCAAAGGAGGGTTAGCTCAGAAGGGCTATTAATTTCATTTTGCGTCGATTCATTATAAACGGCAAATCATTTTTGAAATTATTGCCACCAAATATTAGAGTTCTGTATTATATTTAAAGAAATTAAATAATGAAGAATCTGCATAAATGTATGTATGTTTCTCTCTTAGTGATAAAACATCAGTACCTATAGCCATCAAATTTTGAATAATGTACGTCTCCACCCGAATATGGACATCCGGAAGCCCAAGTTTGGAATTTGTTTTATTGTCTGTTTCCAAATATAAAAATGTAAATCATTAAAAATATAGTAATTGTAAATATATAGAAATTGTAAGGCATTCATGAGTTTTTGATTAAGAAACTCAACGATTTCAAAGCAAGCAATAGCAACACTGTATAGAGGGATTTTTATATCCAGCACACGAGACTGTGTATCGGAAATTCTAAAGACATGCTCTTTTAAATATTTTGAGATATTGCTGTTTAATTGAATTTTATAGTTTATTGCTAAGAGTATGATATTTAATAAAGGTAACATACAAAAAGTTAAAAAATAAAATCTGGAAGTTTTCAGATTTTTTTTTTTTTTAATCTTGGCAGTAAAGGCAGTCTGCTTACTGAAAATAATAAACACATTTTCAAGATGTTTAAATTTTTTTTTTCTTTTGAAGCATAATATTTTTTCAGATAATTAACATAACACATTTAAGGGACATTTCATCAGTTGTCCACATATTATAGTAAAAATGACAATTTTTTTCATGGTTGCATAGAGAATATATATAAATATGTATATGAATATGTATGATTAGGTATATGAATATGTATATGAATAAAACATTTTCATTACTAATGTTTATATATGTTGTCATCGCCAACATCTGGAAATGGTCATCTATGGAAATCTCAAACTATTGAGACACTTAATTCCTAATAAGCTGAATTGAGTTACTGTTGTTACAGATCCCGAAAAGAAGGATTTCTGAATATGGGGAAAATCTTGATCCCATTGACTCAGATTTAGTTTTCTATTCAGATGATTTCTTAATTTTAGAGGTGTTACAAATCTTCCTAATGCAGTATTTTAATAAAAAGTTTGTTTTATCAGGTAATTTTTTTTGTTCAGTCATCCCCCCCATCGTAACCAAAATGAGTTGCTTTTTTCGTATCTTATTTTTATTTAATTCAGTTTCCAAGTACAATGTGCAAATGGAATAAAAATCCAAAAAATCAGATTCATCATTTTATGAATTTTCTAAGTCCTTGAAACGTGTACCTAGAACACTTGATATTTGATTACTGAACGTATTTCTAATCCCATAAAAAACTTTTCCACAACTGTATGGAGCTGTGCTAAGAAAATTCATGCGACTATATACAGTTATGGAGCTATTTATAGAATGTAAGACATTCCTGATGTTTTAAAGTGAGATTCTGCACTCCAAATCTGTGACTATCTGACATAATCCAGGATCAATACAGAAGAGAAACGTAACAAAGTAAAACATAAAATTAGGCAAAGCAACAAACACATGTTATCTATACCAAATACAAGGTAGTAGCTTTGCCTGTTTTATAATCCAGGATTTGTAGTTATTTTAGTAATGCAGCAAATTCAATTATATTTAAAAAATTAGGCAAAAAACAGCCTTTTTTGCTGGCACTGGTTCTACTGTCTTTAGGGTCTATAGAACAAAATTTAACCTAATTTTATATTTGTTACAGGATGTGGCTGTTTAAAAATTTTCAAAGTATTCTGTCTTAAGATTAATGCACTGGTTTCATCTTTCAGTCCCCTTCTAAAAGATGTACTTGACGCTTGCTTGAGGCATATGATTTGAGTAAAAGATAATTTTTGTATGGATGCATGATACATAAATTATATTTACTATAATACATGTGTTTTTGTATTAATGCAGTACTTTATTATTTTGTTGTCTCTGTTAAATTAAAAAAAATTAAATATATTGATGTAATTGTTTATCTATGCAAATTTCCTCCATATGCCTGTGTTCAGTCCTCTTTATGAAAAATTTATTTCATTGATTAGGAAGCATACAACATGTGCATTACACTGCCCTGTATAATAGATAAATGTGGTTATGAAGGAATAAAAGGAAATCAGACAGCACTTACAGAAAAATATTCAGTACACTGAAAAGTAGATTGCAAACTTTTTTCAGTATGTCTACTCTGATGTGGATGGTTGGGATTCTTGATTTTATTCCATTGTTGCATAAGTTTTATTAGGTAGTAACTTTCTTAGAAATTCTATTTGGTAATCTATTTTTAGAAATTCTGTTTTTATATTTTGTTCTTAAAAATTATTACACAAACAGTTTTAAATTGAAATGTTCTTTTAGTATGTTTAGTTAATGTTCTTTAATTGACCTCTTCCTGGACATCAAATGTGGCTTATAGTTGAAAATAAAATCCTAAATGCACTGATGCATTTACCAGCAATATTTATTATTTAGACAGGCAATCTTAAAAATTTTGGAAATTTTTTCAGTTATGGATATAATTACAAATCCTGAAAGTCTGGTAACCCTGCTTCTCTGTGATAAGTCTTAATGTGCAAACCACACTCTGATATGCTCATTTGTTGAATTTATATGATTTACAAAAATTAATAATGTATTTGAATTTATAGGGCATCCTGTTAATATTCCATTTTCAGTGTAAAATCGTGAGCAGATTTTGACTTTTATTTATTTTTTTGTTTAGGTGGTATCACAGGAGGAATTGAAATTTGCATTACATTTCCTACTGAATATGTTAAAACCCAACTGCAACTAGATGAGCGATCTGCAAAGCCAAGATACACAGGCATATTAGATGTAGTGAAGCAAACTGTAAAATATCATGGAGTTAAGGGGCTTTACAGAGGCCTCAGTGTCCTGATATATGGTTCTGTTCCAAAATCTGCTGTCAGGTTTGTAGTGATAAGAAAGTGCTTTTGGTGTTATATTTATTCCTAGTTTCAATTATATTTCATGAATTTATATTGCAAGTTGAAGGCTTGTTGACAGATTTGCTGTGGGCATTTTGGTAATCAGTTATAGCATGCTTCCAGATTTGAAAATTTTCCTTTAATGCTGAGAATATCTTCCTTTTTAATTCTGAAAACCTTGCCTTCCAGAGCAAACTTTACTGTAAGTTCATTTAATGGTTTTTCTGCATGAATTTATACATATAAATTTTGTAACAAATTTTATTATTTTTAATAATTATTGAGTTAAAACTATTGCAGTAGAGCTTTTCGTAAACATATGGTGCTTTGAAACATTAATTTTAAATATGTATCTAATTTATTTTGCTGTAGACATTATTATATTTTGCATAGTATATTCATTTTGCATGTTACTGAAATATTACTAACAAGAAATTTCTTACAAATTTCCATCGCTCTTGTATATAATGTTAAAAACTTCAGAAATTAGTTTTTATGTCGCATTTAAATTTTGAAACCTTGTGTATTAAAAAAAAAGTCAATTTTGTTATTCTGTTAGCTACTATTAGTAGCCTTCGGGCCACATGCAATGTGTAGGCTATGTGAAGTCTGTGAAAAGATTAAGAAAACTTAATGTAAAATTGTAAAAACATAATAATATGGTCTGGGATGCACTGAAAAACTAATGTCACTAGACACACTGTCACAGTATGGAAAAGCACTGCATAGAGGACAAATAATATTGTGTCTATCTCGCAACAAATCTTGGAAGGCGAGCTATCCCATCCATTGCGGCAAAACTGTTAAGCAATAGTAACTAAATTTTTTCTGTCAAATTTGTAATTTTTTATTATTTATTACTAATATTTAATTTTGTTAATTAAATTAATATGTAGTGAAACTTGTTTACAGAAGATGTGGCAAATTCTCTAGAGCTGTAAAATAAAATAGCTTTAAAAATTTAAGCCAATTCGGTTGTTGCTATTTTAGACAAATCCTTATTACATCAGTAGAGAACCTTATAGATTTGTATTAAAGGAGTATAAAAAATTATTTAATCTCATAGTTTAACAAGCAAAACATGCAGCTATGTGACCACCATATAATGAGCAAACTGAAAGAGAAAAGGGAAGGGGAAAAAAATAGAAAAGGGTACAAAATAATGGAAGATAAAATTTTAAAATTTTGAAAATAAAGATTTTTAATTAGAAGCATTTAACTCGGACCTTATAGAATTTGTTGAGTGCAAAATAATCCAAGGGATTCTAATTTATCAGTTGATGTTTATAATTAATTTTAGTAGAGGCCCACCAGCAACCAAGTGGTAAAGTCGCTAAACACTGGTATTTTGATTCAAAAGTCAAACAACAAAAATCAGCGTTATATTTTCAAATTTTCAAAGGACTAGTTTCGATGGTTTTACCGAACCACCATCCTCAGCTGCAAAAGCGCAAATGAACGAGATACGATATAATGATTAGATAAGATAAAGAAAGCCTGGACAGAAAATAAGCTAGTGGCACCATCTGTTGCAGATGGCTCTGGTGGCCGAAACAGTATTTGAAAATAGATAAAATTAAGAAAATACAGAGAAAGAAAAAAAATGAAAACATTTCGACGCATTATTTTTATAATATAAACGTTCATTTTCCTTGCTTTGCACGTGACGTTGTCATTTCGTCTGTTACTTATTTAAAATTTTCACGTTGTTCTGTGTCTTAAAATTAGAAAATAAAGTTAATGACCTAAAACTGCAGTAGAAGATTACAGTACAAGTGAAAAAATTGACAGTTTCACTCACACGTGTGTCAGATTTGCGCAATACTTACGGGGTCTCTCAAAATTTTTGTAAATATTATGGGGTCCTGGGGGTCACAAAAAGATCTCAGTGATAAAGGGGGGTCGCAACTGAAAAAAAGTTTAAGAAACCCTGATTTAAATTAATGAAATACAATTTATGGAAGTAGTTTAGAAGTAGTAAAAGGCAAACAGGCATAGGCAAATTGTAATACAAAGTCCGTAATCCGGATGTCCATTATACGGAATGATCTATAATCTGGACCTCAAAGCCACTAACTTTTTTTTTGTATGCTTTACGCATACGCTTAAAGAATGCACATACATTACGCGCCCTATACTTCCACAGTCATAACACCTTGGTTCTGTACTTTTATTAGGTATAGCGCGTGCTTTATTTTATGTGTTAGTACTTGAATAGCCCTTATTCTTCGGTTCTGTACTTTTATTAGGTATAGCGCGTGCTTTATTTTATGTGTTAGTACTTGAATAACCCTTATTCTTCGTATCTCGAAAGCGGATTTTCTCATAAAATTTAATTTCTCTTTGAATTCAGAAATAGTTTTACACCCATACAAAATAATTTTGTTACCACTCTGATCCGGTATCCCATTGATTACATAATCAAGAATTGATGGATCATCAACAAAACCGCGATTGGCTATTTCACGCATGGCAATTAAATATTCGGAAAGGGATTCACCAGGTTTTTAAGTGTCGTTCAAGTCAAGGCATAGTTTAAATGAACCATATTTTTTCCTACTTAGCAGGATATTACTTGCGTAATCAAAACAGTTTGGCCTAATGATTTGTTTCTCTAACCATTCTGAAATCTGTTTATCAATTTCACGCTGCTCTGTGGGCGAAGGGCGGAACGTCGCGGCGCGAAATGGACTGGAAGTTGATCTGTCAGTACTATCTATCTTCGGGAGTCAGATGTGTTATTTTATTCGGCTTATTTCCTTACTAAATGTAGTTTCATCTCGATGTGTACTCTGCTTTGATATGATTTAAATCAATTTCCTCATCATATAAATATCACGAATACACATCAAATAGTTTTCTGGTTGCAATTTTCTAATTGTGCGTAAATGTATGCTTTACGCATGCGCGGCGTTGAAAGAATGTTTAATAAAGTAAACAAATAAATATAAAGTTTTTTTTTTTTTTTTTTTTTTTTTTTTTTTTGTAAATTTGATAACCTTTAGATGATAATTGCTCTTTATTTCATAAATAACAGTTTCATATTTTTAATTTTATAATTTGTGCATGCCATCTTACCAGATTTAAATTGATGATCTATAATTCGGAAAAACCTCTAATCCGGAATCGCCGAAGTCCCGACGAGTCCTGATTACGGTCTTTGTACTGTATATGAAAAACGATTCGAATTTGAACAGATTCCTACAGAAAACTTGAGAAGAAAAAGTAATCAAAAGTATTTTTACTTGATCTTTTGAAAGGTCACGAGTGATAGATCAGAACCCAAAATTATGTAAATATAATTTTTTTATATATATTTTGAAGCAAAAGAATTTTTATTTTTGGACTATTTTATCATTTTGCAAATAATAGTATAGTCGGATTTTATTTTTTGAGGTTTCCACTGTAGTATTTGAAGTTTTCTATTCCATTTTATACGGCTGCAGTGCAGTTTTCTGTTATTTTATGTTATTGAAATATGTGAGAATTAATTTGTTAAATATAATCAAAACCTTCATCAACTAAGAGCAACACCGTTGCTCTTAAATGTGATTTGCATTCTATGCTTCAGCATCATCTTATACTAAAAATAGCTGTATGAATAATTTTTTCTTTGATTTATAATACCTTCCAAGATTATTCATTATATATGTATTTAAGCATGCTGAGATTATATGATATTTTTAGAGATTAGCTTCCAGTTATTAAAAAAAATATGGACTATAACATCTACACGCAGTTGTTACTTTTTCATAATATATATTGTGTAAGATATGAATCCATAATAATTTCAGCAACTGTAATGTTGTAATGCAACTTAATTTATGTAATGATTATCTTTTAAACATGTGAAACACCCTTTTAGAAGTTATTTATTTTGATTAACTTCTTGTTAGTAATTTAAAATTCCATTCTTATAAAATTAAAATATGCAGATCTTGTTTAATATTTTTTATTATTTTACTGTTATAACTTGGTTTTGCATATGCGAGTTTTATACTGCACTGAAAGCGCTTTTAACATTTCTCTCCTACTAACAAAATTTTAGATTGTGCCTTAACAGATTTGCCTGCTTCAAACTATTTTAACCTAAAATTTATCTTGTTTTGAAATTTGTAGTATTTATACTCAACTACTCACTAAGAGGCTCTTATATTGACAGTTTCTTTTGATCAAGCATTTTCATCTGATCTTTGATAGCATTTGCCACACCTAACAAATCTGCTATGAATTAAGTTTCAGACATCAATCCTAAATCAACCAGATGCATTTCTTCAGGGCGTAGCATACTAACAGGTAAGGGGAACATATGCATATATTTCATCCCTGTTTGAAATCCTCATAGATTAGTTCTAGCACTATCTTTTCCAGTTGTATCTATTTTGGTAAGGCTTTAGGTAAATTGTATAATTGCGAATTTATTTATTTAAGAGAGTTTCATTGCTTCTAAAATATTTTAGGAAATTTAGTGATAAGATTTTTTATTTTATATTATTGCACTATTATCACACCTGATCTTATCTTTTGTTCTTTATTTTATTTTTTACTTTTATTTGTTTATTTATATTTATTTTCTTATTTATTTATTTATTTTTGTTGGCCTTTTTAATGAAAGCATTTTTCAAAGTCATCTGCTTAGTGCTTATCATAAGCAATATGTTTACACAATTAAAAAAGATGTAGCATAAATATAAAAAACAGCTGTTGTTTAGTATAACTCAGAAATATAGACTATGTGAATAGTGTAAGGTGTCCCAACAAAAGTTTTAGACTTACTATGCCCACAAAAATACTTTACTTTAAGAAAATGGAAAATATTTTTACATACTCACAACAGGCAAATGTTCTGATTTTAGAATGTTAAGTGTGATTTGACCTGGCAACAGTGTGATTTAACCTGGCAAGACTGGTATTATATCACTGTCAGCTCATTTTGTAACCCAGTTGACCTGGAGTGCTGCACAAAGGAACAGCGAGCTTGG